GGTCCAGCGGTGCACACTGCGATCGGATCCTTGCGGTTGAGGTCCAGGCGTGCACACTGCGATCGGATCCTTGCGGTTGAGGTCCAGGGATGCACACTGCGATCGGATCCTTGCGGTTGAGGTCCAGGGGTGCACACTGCGAGGGGATCCTTGCGGTTGAGGTCCAGGGGTGCACACTGCGATCCGGAGCTGGCCAGACAAGATCGGCGAAGCAGATTGGCGAGGAAGGAAGCAAGGAGGAAGGAGGAAGGAGGAGGACGAAGAGGCGGCGGAGGCGGAGGCGGAGGAAGAACAACTGTGATAGAATCTAACAACCCTCACCTGGCAGGTGGGGAAAAAAATCGAAACATCCAATCCTACATGAGCAACAACCAATCTTATAGCTGCAACATCCAATCTTACGCGCGCCAACGACCAGTTTCAAAATTCGAGGGCTTGTTGCGTTGAACCCGCTTCGAAACCATTTCGAAGGGTTTTCGAGACTGTTTCGAAGGCTTTCCAAGAGTCCAACATGAACCAACAGACCCTAAACAGCAATGTTTGGACGCGACCTTTCTTATTTCTAAAAAGCTTCCAAAACAGGTTATAAAGGTCGCGTCCAAAAATTGCCTTTTGGTGTATATATATGTATATATATACATTGCAGGAGTTTGTACACTAGTATAACATTATAGGGATATATATGTGGTCTCTTGACCTCTTAAAGCGCGTCCGCCCATGTTTGGCACCTGGCAGGGATCATCATGGCGTCGGCGCCTGCGAAGCTCGCAAGCGGTTGGTCAGCTTCGGCGCTGCTCTCGGGGATAAGACGGATGGACAACGATTGCCTAGCAGCAATCAAACAAGAATTGCCCGATGACCCAAATGAGTTGCAGCAGGTTCAAGAGGCACATGGATAGTTTCTTATCAAGAACCACCACCGCATGGCTTTGTCAAAAGCGTCTTTTGTTCTTAGTGCATGATGTTTTTACATCTGTCTTCCACTCACCTGCTAGGTGCTTCAGTCAATGGCCGATGCAGCAGCTTCCAAGTCCCCAAAAGGTGATGGCTCAGTGCCCCCCAAAAAAGGAACACAAACCGTGCAGACATTAATTGTTCTTCTCTTGCAGAATTTCACGTTCTAGGTACCTCATGGCAACACCGGCAACCGCCCCAAGTTAGATGTGCCAGCTTCTTTGAAAATGCTTGGAAGTGAAAGGCCGATGGCTGCCAAAGCCTCATGCCCTAGAAGCCCAGTTGAGTGTGTTGCTAGGCCATCACTTTCAACGGCCCCCCCTCCCAGCAGTGCCTGCCTATGCGTGCAGCTCGCCAGTAGAGAGACCAATGAAGAGGCTTCGGCCTCTCCCGAGCACGGCCGAGCGGATTCAGCGAATCACGGCGCCAACGCCCTCCAAGGCAGCTCCACCCAAACCATCGAGGTCGTCCCCGGCTGCTGCACTCCCAACCAACCGAACTTTAGAAGATCAGTTTGATGCAGTCAGCCGACAAAGACATTCCCCAAAGCCAGATTCCAGTTTGGTCTTCCCAGAGGGTGAGGAGGAGATGGCACAGGCTGGATTTGGCGTGGTTTTCACACCGACCGCTGCCCCCACAGAACCAGGGTCTCCAAAAAGCATAGTGCACGGTGAGCCGCTCGAGGGGATCCGGCGGGATCCTTTTTTGCAAGAAGGTGTGGACAGGATGAAAACTGTTTGTTTCTTGTTTCAGGCCCGGGGAACCTAGCCTCATCCAATCCAAGGACAAGATGCGCAAGATCTTGGGGCTCCTGGAAAGCCAGCAAGCGCAAATCGCATCCCTTGTCCAAACAGGTCATGTGCCACCAAGCCTTCGAGTTGAGGTGGGGAATTTGCACCAATCCTTTAAAGACTTGCAGATTTCCGGATGCGCTGATCAATCGGTTCCCTCGGAGGTCTTTTGGCAGCACGCGCTGCTAGACATATGGCTGCACACTGTGTTTGAGATGCCGTATGATGCCGTCCTTCCTTTTGGATGGTTCCGCACGTTTCTTCGCCTCAGGCCAGTCGTGAGACTCATCCCGCTCCTGAACATCTTGCAGGGGAGGCCACTGTGCCGCCAGCAAAGGCACATGCACTTGGCTCCAGTACTGCCAGCACAGAACAAACACATGAACGCGAGGAAGAAGAAGCACCTGTCATCCTTCATGTTGCTACCATGACTAAGTCGGAAAAAGACAAAATCAGGCGTATTGTCACACCGAAACCAAGTAGTGGAAGGATCGAGGTCCCTGAGGATGTGAGCAAACTGTGGGCCACACCGGAGGGCAAAGATAATTAAGCTCTTCGCCATGTGGGCAAAGTCTGGTGGTGTGAAGGCTGGGTTAGGTCTTGGTCTTTCCATATATGGACCATGTGTGAAACAAACTACATCACTTGGAAATGCAGCAAAGTCGCAATAGCCTGCAATAGCTAGCACTATAGGTGTTGCCTACTGGCTGTTTGCAATACGCAGGCAATCTTCATGCAGAGGGTGAAAATCCTCTCAGTAACGACGAGGTCCAAGAAAATTGAAGTCACCGGTGGCTTTTATTCTGAGGAGGATATGAAGAATGAGTTGGGGTATTCCCCGTCGTCTATTCTTGTTTATTTCGGCGTTTCATTCACACATTCTCCAAAGCATTTGTGCATTTCCTTTCTTTGAGGGAGCGCATCGAGAAGGTGAAGAAGTGGGCCATTAGCAAAAGCTCGTCAGGACATTGTTTGTTTATGTACATGCTTCTTGCAAGAACTCCCGTCCCTCATGCTTTACTGTAATTCTTGAAGCCCGCAGGATTTGCGAATATTATGAGGACACCCTTGAATACTGGGTCAATGTCAGGACTTCCGGGAAGCTGAGTCGGGAGGACTTGGAAACCCTTTCGATCACCAGGGAGCATGACCAGGAAGTCATGGGGGATGACCTGCGTTTGGGGGGCTCCCGATATGCAAGACGGGGCATTTCCTGAGTTTGGGAGCGGCCAGCAACCAGATCTTGAAGGGGACTCGCGCGCATCCGCATCTAGGTTGCATGCACATATGAGATTAGCAACACATTTTAAGCTGCTAGAGTGCTTTTGGAAAAGAACTTTGGGGCCACCCAAGGTCAACTTTGTTCAACAAATAAATGAAAGGCTGGCGTGGCAGCTGCATTGATCATTGTACATCGTTGTGCATCGATCTTTCGACCTAGGTAAAGTCTAAGTTGGCGCTGTACCAGAAGAACACGCTCAAGAGTAAGTCTACTCTGGTCAACTTGGCCGACAAAATCCGGGAGTTGGCAAAACAAGATACGGCCTGCAAGGCGTAGCTTGCCACAAGTGATGCCAGCGCTCATTGATGCCAGCCACTGCAAAAACTCTTTCCTCAGCGCAGCTGAGGCCGGTTGACAAACTTGACGTGATCATCAAGGAGCTCGATGATTCGTATGAATCAATGTCGGACATGCACGCTGAAGGTTCTGCAACAGGGTTTTCCAAAGAGCCCCTCGATTGAGATTGTTTCACTCATCGTGTCAAAGGTGTTCCTTGAACCACTTGCAAAAACTACTTCAATACCCTTGGCACCCTTAGGCTGAACGACAAGCTGCAGACCGTGTTCAACAACATCACAAAATCGTTGCTCGATCTGAAAAGAGCTTGGCTTTGTTTAAAGCAAAGTCTAGCCTCCCCACGCTTGCAATGCAATTCAGGATGTCGAAGGCCACTTCAGCAGAAGCATCGGCCAGGCCAGCTTGTTTCCGAAAAGTCACATAATTACGCATGAAAAAAGATCCGAACAATCAACAAATATCGATTTGCTGGTTCAGGATCTTCGTCGCCAAGGCCAAGAAGCTCAAGGTCAAGAGTGAGTGATGGGCTTGCCTGACCATCCTAGTCTGCCTGTTGGCTTACCAATAGCTTGGGTCGATATACCCGTTTGAAAGGGGTTGCTCACGCAACTTTCCGTTGGGGTTTCAGACCGGGAAAGGTGGGAAAGGGCACAAACTTCGAGGCCTGCCCCTCCTTAGGAGAGCCTGTGTCTGCGAATGGGGCTCAAAAGAGACGGAGTTTAGGTCTGAAGTGGCTCGTGAGCTTGCTCTACATAGACATGCATGTTCCTTTTCCTATTTGTGAGCCCCCCCCGCAGGTTACAAGAGGGAGTTGAGCAACACCGTCAAACACATTGCCAAGCTGTACGGGAAAGGTGTTTCTTTGTTGCACATGGAAAAAATCTTGAAAGGGATTCCTTGGAGTTAGTCTTGGGAACGTGGACTCGTTCCAACATCTTCCAACTAATCCAAGGTTCCTGCTGCTGACTGCGTTGATGAGGCAAAGAAAGGCAGCTTCGAAGACCGACGCCTGCCCAGTGCTGCAAGAAATAGCAAGGATCAGATCGGAGGACCCTGATGACGGCTTGTTCAAATCTTTGACCAAATGTGGTTTGGCAGTGTCATGCCCAGCCATTTTGATGCAGCTTGACGACAGCTTCACATACCCCTGCTTCCACCCGCGGGACATTTTAGTGGCCATGGGCAAGAAGGGCTTTGTGAACAATATTCTTGGTGAACACCCTGAAGAAGTGGAGAGGACACTCACCGACTTTTGGATGAGGTTCCGGCGAATCAAGCCGGGCCACGAACTCTTTGAGACTCAGGAGGATTGGTCCCATATGTTTCCATATTTCTTTCACGGTGATGGAGGCCGCACCTACAAAAAGGATCCTATTCTGGTTTGTTCAATGTTCAATGCACTGGGGGGTGGGACGCGAAAGGCCACTGCCCCCATCGCGCCTCAACCAAGAAAGAGGAAGTACTCTGGCATGTCCAGCAGCTCGGAATCTGAGACTTACGTTCCTGGAGTTAACCTGCTTGGCCGTTCTCTGACAACTCGGGCCTTGTTCACAGCAATGAAGGCTGAGTTCTACAAGAACAAGCGGTTGAGATTTGAACCGTTGGTGGATCTGTGGGGGCAATACTTGGCTGATTTGTACCATGTTGGATTTGAGCTAAATGGCAAGACATGGAAAGTCGCGGTGCTGGGTATCACCGGAGATGCACCATTTCTCCGTGAGATTGGCCACCACAACCGCAGCTTTTCAAACTTGAGGAAGTCTCATACTTCAACGGCTTTGCCCAAGGGAATATGTTGGTTGTGCGCCGCTGACATGCACATGGGACCGTGCTTTGAAGACTGTCGAATATTAAGTGCAGATTGGGTGCAAACGATGGGTGTGCACAACCCACTCCCGTGGGAGATACCTTCTCCTCTCCTGGCCCACATAAAGACCGACGCGGAGGATCAAGCATCTTTCTATCGGCCTGACCTCTTTCATGTCCTACACGCAGGTGTTGGAAAGGACTGGGTTGCAAGCAGCGTTGTGTACATGTGCAAGGTGACATTCAAGCAACGTCGTATTGGTTTGGGCTTGGAGGCAGTCAACCATTTGCTCAAGGAATTTTTGGTGCAAAGTGGTGAACGATTGAACTTTTCAAAGTTTACGTTTGAGATTCTCGGCTATGAGTCGTCCAAGAGTTACCCGACCGGCCATTGGTCCAAGAATATGGACACGGCAGCTCTCACTAAGTTTGTTGAGCACGTTGCAGCGCAATATGTTGAGGACCCAATACTGGAGCTCATTGCGGACGGCAGCAACGCAATCTCACATCACATGAGTGTGCTGTTCAGTTCAAATTTTTGGCTTCAGGAGGCCGAGGCCTGGCAGGCCATACAAGCTGGCCAGGTGTTTCTCACTGCTTACTCCAAGTTGGCATTGAAATGCCATTCTCAAGGTTTTTGCCTTTTCAAACTAAAGGCAAAGCTCCACATATCATTTTAGAGTCATATCAGCAGTTTTGCAAAGATTCCTCCTGTGTGATAAACCCAATAGCGGAGGCAACTTTCATGTCGGAGGACTTTGTTGGTGTCGTGGCTCGACTCTCCAGGAGAGTGAGTGCACGGCAACATGGAAGAAACATATTTAACCGCTATTTGTGTGCAGTGCTGGCAAAGCGTGATGTAGAGACCTTTGATTGAGTGCAGGGGGCCCTGAAAACAGCGACGTGATCGAATTGGATGAAAGCCAAACGGCGCTCATTTTTTGAAAAAATCGAAACGACCCTGGTCTTCGACCATAAATTTTTGGACGTTGTGGGATCTAGGTACCAAATGGATCCCTTGAAAAAAAGAGCTTGCACCATGGCAAATATGCCCGCCATTCGAGGCACATCACATGGAAGTAGACAAGTCCCATGTTTGTCAAGGGGGCAATGTTCCGCTTCCATGTTCAATATAGATGGTTTTGCCATCTTAATATATATATATATAATATATATATATATATATTATATGTGTAAACTATTATATATATATATTAAACATCAATAACATATTATGTATCTTGAGATATCTAAAGAAATGAATCACCTACAAGTTGCTGACCACCCAGTTTCAAATGTAGGAACATCCCTGACTTGGCGTTCTCAGATATACCTGGATCACGGACTGTCAAATGACCTTGGGCTGTCTGACACCAGAAACAACCATTCAAGCTTATGTAAATAATGTGTCCTTTCTAATTTTAATGTAAATCATCATCATAGTTCGGATTCTCTACCTCACAACCTGCAACTTAGACAATTGACTCAAACTGATGGGTGTGGAATTCGACCCAGCACTCGACCCACCGTTCACCACAAAGGCTTAACGGTGGGGTGAATCGTCTTTCACCTGGTCCAGCTGAGGCAGAGTCTCGCAAAGGCCGACCAAAGTAACTTGGGTCCAACACGTTTTGACACGGGTGTGTATGTTGATTGATTTGACCCCCTGGCCCAATTTGTATTGGATGGTTTTGGTCTATTTCCCTTCTTCCAGGCGGTCGTTGCCTGCGAGGTCTCCCTATATATTTGAGCTCGGTAACAACACGTCCCCACGTCCCAGCCGAAGCTTGGGAGGAGCTCGGGAAGAGCTTCCAAACGGTGGCCATGTCCAGATCTTCATAGGTCACAACAGAGGCCATTTTGTATTGGGGGTGGGGCAGCACACATTTTTTGATTAACAGCTGGTTGAAACACTTGGTCGGCTCATGTCGGTCATGTCCTGCATTGTCCTACCATTGTTCTCGGGGACAGTCCTTCAAATACTCGTGGAAGTGTGAACAAGCATCTGTTTTGGTATTCGGATTTCATTCAGGTCAACCGAAATCGAAGCCATCCCATTCACGTAACCATGCTTATTTCATCAGAGTGTATACTTGATGAAATTTGAGAAACTCCCAAGTGGAACACTGCATCTCTTCTCCCTGGGAGGTCTGGGCCCGGCGGGAGGTCTTGGTCTGGTCCTGGACCCATCTGACCCATCCCATCCAGTGCTCGAGAATGGAGAACCTCTACTCCTCAAGTAACACTCCTTGATACTCCGCTAATCTAGACTATTGAGTAATAAACCCTTCCATTTGAATTGGAAGTCCTCTTCACATGGGGGCTTATTCATCAAGAGTCTACATTGTACGAATTCTGTGGGTGAGTCTTGTTGCTTTGGTGATGGATCAAGCAATCAAAGATGACCATCAGTGGATTCCAGTGACCTCTTTGCCAACCCAGCAACAAGTGAACTAGTGGTTACCTGCATCACAGCCACCGACAAAAAAATGAAGAAAACCAACCATTTATGGTATCAATGGAGAGGCCTATGTTTGCCCAGCCCCAAGGAAATGCGTGGATGGATCGACAAAATCCACCTAGGCAAGTAGAAAGGACCTCCCCTTGTGCCGACCCGGAAGACCAAGTTTTTCTTTTTCAGCATGTCAATTAGAGGATTTAGATGAGAGCTGGATGATTTGGGGGCTCATTGTTGATGGATTTGGCATGATCTGGCTGCTTGACTTCTTCTTAGGGCTATACCATATAGTTGAACCGGGCCGGTTGATGAACGCAATGGACCTTGTCTCGAGACCAGAGTGTCCACAGCAGCAAGCCTCGCTGGCGCAGCAAGCCTCATTTTGTCCGCCGGACGTGCCTCTGTTGAAGAACAACGTCAAGTATTATACTTCATTCATTTGCTGATGGTTGGCTTTGGAGCCCTCGCCTTGGCCTTGGCCTCTGCCTTCTCGGGAAAGAAGGCATGTAACTTGAAGCCATCAATCTCTGTTCCATCCACACGCTTTTGGGTGGTTCTGGCATTCACCTTCCGACAGTAAGCCACCAGGAGTTTCCTCCGTCCATTCTTGGCCTTGTCGTGGCCCAGGATGGTGCGCAGCTCCCCGAAGCGCGCGAAGTACTCGGTGATCCGTTCCAGGTCCCACAGGGGGAAGCCGGTGACCACCACGGCATGCGAGGCCTTCCTGAGGAGCAAAGGCTATATATATATAGTGCTATGGGCAAAAAGGAGGCAACACCCCCAGACTCCATGGGATATTAGATGATCTTATGGGATGATGGATGGGCTCAGAATATTTACCAATCACTTGGGGCGGTTGGATCCATCGTGTCTGACCCGTGGGGGTCCAATGGCAGACTTTGGGGTTGCTTTCGGGGACGACATCGGGGCAGCCTGACTGAGCACGAGAAGCGCTTTTCAAAAAAGGACGATGCATGCAAAGAGTTGGAGAAGCAAGTATATAATTAGTCGCCCAGTTGATGGTTGTTTTCCTTAATTAAAAACAACTCCTAAGACAACCAAATCCCTCCTGCAACACATGTTCGGAAGGAATAACTAGCGAGTACAGGGCACGTGGAAGCAGCCCTGGAACTCAAGTGACCAGCAGAAAACGACCTCATTCTAATCTCTTTAAGATCCACAACCGACCCCTTGAGGGGCACCGACCTAAGTGGTGTCTGAGCCCTCCTTCCCTGCCAGGTATAGAATCTACCAAGTATAAACACGACATTCCGCCCAAACCACGACTTTTCACCTGGTTCCTTTTGTGCCATGTGCGTCACCCATGTTCCACTGATCCCGTTTCTGGCGGGTGGTACTTCACGGACTTTTTGTGTTTCACCGTACTACTTCACCCCTCCTCTTCGGTTCAGGCGTCACTTTGCCTTTCGAATCAGCTTTGTCTATGGATCTCCTCGAGAGGTTGGTGTCCTCCGCTTCACTCTGCTCCTCCGGCTCCTCTTCAGCCTCCGCGTCTCCTTCGCCGAGCTCTCGCTGCTCGAGCCGAGCTCCTCTTTGGTCACCTCGGATGTGATGGCAGTACTCCATAGGGCAAACTCACGTTGATGCTAGCTGACCGGATACTAGCTGACTTGTGGTACAAGTTTGGCAGGTTCGGGAGAAACGACACACCCTAGGGCTCCAACCAGATCCACTTTTACAGATAATTACTATAGAGGATATAGGGCAGGGTTTGGAGGTTCAGTCCCTCTGAAGGCTCTAGCTGGGGCCCAAAAATAGAACTTCCTTTTTTCGTGTCTGGATCACTCTCCGGTATCTCATCGGCCTCATTCGGCTTTGGCGCCTCACCGTCCGACCCTTCACCTTCGCCTGTTTCAGCCTTGGGAGAGAGCGCTTCTTCGATCTCATCGCTTCTTTCGGCCCACAGGGGCAACAGATTGGCTTCCGAGACCAAGAGTTCGTTGTCCTCCTCTTCAGAATCCAAACGCACCAGCCATCGAGAGGAGTTGGAGTCAAATCGTAAAATGGTGCAGGGGGTGCCGTTCAGCTCAGTCTGCGATCTTAAATTCAAGAGCACCACGCGCTCTTCGTTTCGAAATTGATAGTCGCGAGTACCACTTGAGCGGGTCCCAAAGTCTTGTGTGTGCTCTCGGGCGAGTACCACTTGCAATCCTTGAGAAATCAGCCGGCTCGTTTTGAGCCTTGCTGCAAGAAGAGCTGGAATACTTCCCCGGCTCACCCACACCAAACAAACGGGGGTGTCATAATCGTCCTTGACCATCTTCACTTCGTCATATTCTCCAATTGGGCCCAAGAAAACTTGCATTTCTGCCTTTTGCCAATTTGGAAAGCCGGCCAATGCCAAGTCAGCGGTCGGTTCCCTCTCCAGCATACTCTCGGCTGCCGCTTCGTACTTTCTCCATTGCTTCGCTCGGAAACCTTGCATGCCGAAGATTGAAATTACTGTACCACAACTGGCCAGGGCCAACTGGATCAAAGACTCAAAAGCCTGTTTCTTGGAGAGTAAATGCCCTGTTTGGAATCTGATTTGGGCCCTGTGAACATCCTTGAAATTCCTTGAATAATTCCAAAAACAAGGGCATGGTGAATGCAGTGTTGGATCTATACATGTAGTCGACCAAGGGGTAATGCTCTATGCAGGCATCCCTTGGACCAATATATGAACTCCGCATGAGGAAGATCAAGACCAACGGTTTGGCAAGAACCACGCGTAAACAAACTTGATGAAAGCCGGCAAAAGTTCATAAGTGTTAACGTCTCTGTTCGCAATGAGCCCTATGGGGCCCTGTGCATTTGACGAAGCTGCATGCACATGGCTCAGTTTGTAAGCATTCAACACCGATGGCTAAACATGCAGCAAGTTCTGTTCCCTTAGGTGGTTGTGACAGTCAGCAAGGAAGCACCCGACTCAAAGTCATGTCCAGACCTGGAAGCTTGGCCACCGGACCAAATCTCCTCATCTTCAGGAAAGTGCAGAATTCGGGTGTGTCCCTGGTAGGGCATTGTACGATTTTTTTGGTGGAAAGCCAACATTCTCAACCTCTGTCGAACTCAAAGGTGCTAACAACGAAAATTGAAAATATAAACAAAACACACTGACCCCAACTTTTGCCACAGAAGAAAAGGAACAAAGGAACAAAAAGACACCACTCCTCGCCAAAGATATGAACGTGTGGCCTCTTCCAGAAGGATACGTTTGTTTGTCCTGTTCTTTTTTGATGTACAACATCGCGCCAAGATTCTACACGAAAAAGACACCATCCATCGACACCCCCTTTTCCCAACAAAAACACATGAAGCACGAACACCACCGAGTCTGTAGCCGCTGGTCGCACTGGCCGTCTACGATGAGCGACACTCATCCAAGACTCTCAGTGTGATCAGTCGGTCTTCCACATGTGTCATGAGTCCAAAGTGAAACGACTTCACAATCTATATTTTATGGAGTATGATACAGGATGGTTCAAAACTCACAATCCCAAGTGCTACTTTGCATTATTGCACTTAGTCCTTTTCCTCTTCTCTTCTCCCCTTTCTCTGCTGATGAAGTTGTTTCACAGCTACTTTTCTTTGCTCAATATCAACTGGGTGATGAAAATCGATACGCATGAGCGAACTTGAACCCAACGACAAGGAGCTAACTACCAGCGGCGCAAACTATTCAACAAGGAACTTCCGGAGTCTAGAATATATTGGCATATATGTATACATATATATATAAAGACTCCCTGTGTTCTTCTTCCTTTTTTACCGCAATGCAAGACCT